TTGGGGGGGGGGGGGGAAGAAAAGTGCTAGATTGCTTTCAGCTGTGATGGTGCAGCAAAGAAAAATGGTAGGAAAGTAGGGAATAGAAACACATCTCAATCTACATCACCTCCCAGCACACAGGGTCACCAGCCTGGAGGTGAGGAGCTCCTTAGCACCACAGGGCAGACTGGTACTACCAAAATGAATGCTCGAGATGCCACCAACAGGCAAAAACCCTACAATCACCCTCTCCCCCCAGCAGGATGGCTCAGATGCTCTGGCAAAGTCCCAGGCAAAAGTTCTCAGCTCCCTGGAACCATGGAGCCATGGAGACCCTCTGAAGCCCTGGGCACCAGCGTCTGGCAGCGCTGAGAAAAGCTGCTGAGCCCTAAGGAGGCCTCCTCGGGGCTGGGATGGAAAGAGCCGCTCCTGCAAAGGGGAGTCTGGGATGTGGGGGTGTTGGTTACTGCTCTGTGGCTGTGATGGGACAACTCATGGGCATGCCAGCCTCACAGGGCACCTTTCTAATTCAAACTCCCAAATTATGGGCAGTTTAATTAGAGAGTTATTAACCCTACTTATATCCAAGGGAAACGCTGAACAAAGGGGAACCTTTATTGAGGGAAAAAAGGTAGGTAGGTGGAAAGGAGAGAAAAAGTAAAGAGTAGGAGAAATAATTAAAAAATGTCCCATTTTTCCCTTTCCTCTCCCATGGGCTGAGCTGATGATAAGAAAAAACCTGGGCCCTTGCTGAAGCTCCACCAAGGGCTGTTTAATTTCCCAGCACAGCCCAGGAGCTGGCTGAGCACTTCAAATTCATTGCAGCGATATGAAGTGCCATCAGCCTTCCTGTTAGCTAACACTTGAGAGTAGTGCTGAACTTGAGGCTTGATTTTCTCACAAGAAAAAAAAAAAAAGAAAAAAAGAAAAAAGGAAAAAATGAATTCTCACACTTTATTATAACTTTCAGCTGAGGACTGAGGTCCCTCAGCTAGTATCCTGTGATCCACAGAGTCCCCCAGTCCCTGAGACTCCCTGGGAGTATAGAGGGCCTCTATCAACCTCTCCTCCCACTGCTCCAGATAGTATAAATAAATAAGCAACTATTCATTGGAGCAGAGAATTACCCGTGACGCCATCACATCTCAGAAGAGTGCCATAACCAGCTAGCTACCAAGTTAGTTTCTCTTTAGCCCATGAATTATTTATTTAGCCCATTTTATACAAAATGGAATAGCTCCAACAGGAAAGACCAAGAGAGACAAAGGCTGACTATATATCCTTGTGATTCTGGCACCCATCTAGGATGTGGATTGAAAGGATATTTAATGATTTGAATTCAGCAAACCAGCTCCAATAAGAGAGATTTATTATTTTTAAACTTCATGCCTAAATACCCTTAGCCCCATGGTTAGGACACTCAGGTATGAGGATGAGGCCAGCTTGGCTCAGGTCCTTACTCTGAATCAGACCTCTCTTTCTCCACTTTGGACCAGGAGTTTTGTTCTGGACCCAAAGACACCCAGTCAGACAAGAGCATGCTCTCCTGTACATTTCTGATTCCAGTGAATCACTATTGTTTTAAAGTGAAAAACTGTTTCACTGAAAAGTAGCCAGTGAATCCAAAGGGTGGCCTCACGGAACTGGAATTTAGTTTTGGACCTAACTAGCAAAAAGACAAACTGACTCAGTCAAACCCTGCTGCTGCTGCTGCTGCCTGTCCATCACGGCACATCGCATCTTGGCTGACAGAAATGACCCATCTTTGCTCAGTTACCACAGCAAAATCCCTACCTGGATTCCCTCCAATGACAATGAACACAGAAAATAAGCCCAAGTAAATGCCTGGTGTGAGCAGGGGGTTGTTGGTTAACCTATGGTCTGTGTCACCTCAGGAATTCAGCGGTGATCCCCACAGTGGGAAGAGTCGGGGGGGGTGGGGGGTGTCCACCAGGCATTTTGGTGCTACCACATCCCCAAACAAGTTCCTAAATTGACTGGGCTACACGCATCTGGCTTTGGCTAAACTGGGAGGGCATAACCTTCATTACGCAGGGGGGTGTTGAATGCAATGTTTTGGGCAGGACTGCAGCCACCCCGTACTCACGGGAAGGACTCTGGTCCTCAGAGGCATACAGCGGCCGCCTTGGCCACTTCAGATGGCTGAAGGCTGGTTATACACACAAGTCCTCCTCTCTGCCTTAGCTTCAGTGCTGTCCACAGTAAATCACACTCTCTCTTTCGTTGCTGCAGGATCTGGGCAGAGACAGGAGCCTCTGCAGCCTGCAGCTCTCCACCCATCACTTCACTGCACCTCTGCTTTGACTCAGCTCCACCCTGAGCAACGGTTCGGGTTGACAAGCTCTGCCAAAAGCCATCAGTGTCACTTCCTTTTTTATTTTCTTTCACTGGAGGCCACTGTCCTTGTGCAAGGCAACGCCATGGCTCTTCCTTCCCCATCCAGGCTGCCTGCACAGGCGTGAGGCCAGAAGGCACTGCACAGGCAATGACAAACCCCCCCTGTGAGAATGAGTTTAATGCAAAATACCAAAGGACCGATTCATAGCAAGTGTTGCTTTCTTTCCCCTTCTACTTTTTTCTACTCTGCTTTCCGTCTTCCTTCATCCTCATTTGGTTAGATAAGGTAATACCCACACACACTGATGAACAAAATAAGCCTGCAAAGCTCCCAGCGCAAATCCCCCAGGTGCACTGTCTATCTATGCACAGCACCCTGCACACACACCAGGAAGAAATTCCAACAAAGTAGGGATGCTGCTATCCTTTTGGGGAAGGCAGACTCAGCAGGCCGGATTCTCCTCTGACCTAAGTTTGCATCATTTTAAGGAAGTTAAAAGCCTGAGGCTTATTTACACCAGCTGAGAAGCTGAGTTATCATCTTGGGAGCAATTTGGAGGGCAATGATATTTATCTTATCAGGGTTCTTCTTACAGTTTGTGTTTTTAGACTCCTTAATTAATGCTGGCAGGATTAAATGCTAAAGTTCTTCGGCAAATTTCCAGTAAAATCAACACCACTTTGCCTAAGTAAAAGCTGGATATGAATCCTACAAGGAAGGACTCACAGCTACTTGTTGCCTTACAAAGTTCTGGCTCCCAACTTAAAAAATAAAAAAAATAAAAAACCAAACCAAACCAAAACAAACAAACAAACAAACAAAAAAAAAACCACATAGCATTGCTTCCTTGGAAACAGTGGAAAAAACATATTTGAAGGAGCAACAGAGAAACTAGCAGGCAGGGAAGCTGGATTTAAATAGCAGAACAGTTCTATTGAATCCTAAGCAGGTAAGTGGTCCTCACTAAGGACTGTTTACCAAAAAGCTCCCAGATTTGAAATAAACTGGCTGTATTTAAATAAATTCAGGGATCAGTGGAAATTGGGACCCCACCCCAACCACTGCTGCACTGGAGGAGTACACACAGTATCAGCACAGCGCTCTCATTACTCCTGCTTATAACGATGAATTACCGGCTGCTTAAGCTCTTCTGATGTTGTGAGGTCTTATTCTGGACTTAAAGCAGCTTAAATACTTGTGTTGTTTTGAGAAAGGTAAAACTCTAGTGTTCCAAAAGCACTTAAAGCAGCTTAATAGGGACTAGAAGTGATTTCCCAGTTAAATTTAAAGAGAAAAATTAATTTTTCAGAATATCCATTATCATATTTTAAAGGTGGCAGAGTTAAAGCAAAACAGAGAGAACAGAAACATTAAGATTCTTGGAAAAATTATCCTGTCTGTATTGGGCATACACCATGCTTTTTCTTTCTCTTCTTAAATGTGAAGAATTAAACAATAACGACAAAAACCCAAAACAAATGACCAACGGCATGATCTCAGCATCCAAGGCAACACTGTGATACAAACATTCACAGCTTTCCAGGACTTAAGCACTTTCATATTCCTCTCTTAAAATAATACGCAAGGAGAGCAACAGCTAGTCTATAACTAGCAGACTCCCATTTTCCTGTGAAATGCACTCACACAGAGAGAACCAGCCACAGGTCAACACTCTTCGTCACAGATAAACCCTTGAAATAGGTTTCATGTGTGACTTAAATGATGCACAGGCCTCGATTTAGGTCTCAGCATGGAGATGATGTCTCCAAGTGAGACTCTATGAGGAGGAAAGATTTAATTTATATAATTTATTGGGCAAAAGATTTCAGTTTTTTTAAATTTTGTTATTAGCTTTTATACTAATTGACTTAAAGATTAAAAGAGAGAATTTGAACATCTAGCCTGCCCGTATTGATACAGGCTATAAAATATTAGCCATCTTCTGGATCAAAGCTATCAAAGCTTGCATTAGCCAAAAATTAATCTTCCAGAAAGGGACCCAGGCTGGATTTGCAGATTTCAAAATGCAGAGAATTAGAATATTTCCCATTGAGGCTTGTGCTAAGACTTAATAGCTGCACTGTTAATAAAAAATAAAAAATAAAAATAAAATTAAAAAAAAAAAAAACAACAACAAACAAACCAAGCTCAGCTAATATTTCACCTGAATCTGTCAGTCTTTTCATTCCAGACCTCTTTTTTTTCTTTTTCACCTTTCCCTGTTAAGTTAAAAAGCCCTTTTGCTCACAGCGTTTTGTCTCCTGTCTGGACCACTGGGTCCTTTCCTGTTCCCAGCAACACGTCTCACCCCACACTGTGTAAGGGAGCGGGCAGCAAATTCCTGAGGATAACTGTCCTCATCCCATAGGAGGTTTGTGACATTCCAAGAGTACAGGGACCAAAGCCTTCTCCCAGCAGTGGCTCCACAGGGATGCTCGGACCTTTTCCCTCGTCCCAGATGCTATGGAAGGGCCCCAGCACACACAGGGTGCAGGGACATTTTGCAAATCTGTATGTCAATCTGCCCTGCTCTAACAGCAGTTAATTCTTTTGGAGCTTTCCGCCAGTTGGACCTGCTCTGTACTTTCCAGAGGAGGCTTAGCGGAGCGCTGAGTCTGCTAGAGCACTAATAATAATAAACGGTGCAGCCATAACCTTGCCTTTAAGGGCTGAGGGGGTAATGCATTTAATATATTAACATGTTCAATAACCTCAGTCCCTGTCATGTGCTGATTTAAGGAACTGCAAACTAATTTATTAAAGGAAGACTATGGCTGAGGACATGAAGAAGTCTGGTGTCTGGAAACTGTGAGTGGACTAGACTATCAAATGGATATCTTCAGCCAACAGGCACTGATGTCCTTTACACAAGCACCTTCTAAATTAAAATCAAGCTCCTTGTCCCTTCTGACCTCCAAGCAAAGGCAGCAGCATTGACACAGTGAGCTGCTCCATACACTTTGTCCAGAAATTTTAAGAAATTTTAAGTAAACAAGACATGAGTCTGCTGTGAGTATGAATGAGAACAGAAAATAGCTGTGGAAAAGGATAATGCCTGCACAGGAGGGGAATTCATGTGCTAACTGACCCACATCCCCACGTCACTCAAGCCAAGGAGTGAAGAAAGGGGCTGCACTTCCCTCGAGCATCTGAAGATAAGTGACAAGGGAAGGCTGGTGGTTCCTGGGTCCCCTCTGGGAAGGTGGTCAAGGGAAAAGCTCTCCCTGACCTTCCTGAAAGGGAAAATTGTTAGACTGCAAGATTTTTCTTCATTTCCTTCCTGGTAAGAAAACAATGAAGAGGCCGCTTAACTTCTTTTAAACAACCTCTTGGAGGCCACAGTAACAAACCTCTTAGGAGAGTGCTACCACAGTGGAGGTAGAGACACCTCATTAAAGAGGCACGTTTATATCTGGTCCAGAAATGTAAAATCAAATAAATCTTTACAAACCAAATTTCCAAGACTGCTGTTTCCATCAGCTAAGTGAGCACACAAAAATCTCATGGATCTGCTTTAAAATAATAATAATAATAAAAAAAAAAAAAAAAATCCTGCCATTCTGTAACCCAAAGGAACAGCTTCACTTACAGTGACAGAAATGCACAAAAAGCAGACAAGCAGCATAATTAGTGAAAAGGGGGAAAATATTTCAAGTTCTTTCTTTCTTTCGCAAAACTTTTCCTGATTCTTGGAACGAAGATACGGATTTTCCGGGGCCAGTGGGGAGGGGGGAGGTACACATTTTAACCAGATAAAGATCCTCATTAAAAATAATAATAAAAAAAACGTTTAACTGCTTCCAGCCTACTTGAGAGTTTAGAGCATTAGATCATGCTGGAGAGATCTACCACAGCCAAAAGGAAGACAGCTCCATAGATATCCCCCTTGAGTTTACGCTGAAGGCTAAAATTAACTTTGGAAAGCTGTTTTCTAAAAGAGCTTCAACTCAGCTTGTATTTTTGCAAGTGCAGTCCGGTAGTGAGAGCTCCAGCTTCTCCATTCTGCAATTAACTGTGGTTGCAAAACTGCACACCAGGAAGGAGGATCCTAATGAATCAGGGCACAAACAAACTTATTTTAGACTCCGCAAAATAATCTGTGAAACATCCAGTTCTGCAAATCTCCTGGACCTCCAGCTCACACTCCATCACCAACAGCAAAGATTCTGTAACCGGACTTTAACCGCTGGTTTGATCAGCACACAAGGCTGATCTTTTTCTCACTCTCCAGTATTTCTTCCAAAGGTCCTCGTGTCTCCACCATCGGCAAAGCAAACAGCTTTTTACCCAAGTGCTGCAAAGTTCCATGAAGTACAAGCACGCCCACAGGACACAGCCAGGGCTCTGACTGCCACCCCCTTCCAGAAAAAATTCATTTTCATGCAATTCCACGTTATCATCATGCAACTCTTTGTCCTGAAATCACTGATTGGGGAAGTTCTGCCCCCTCATGCATTCATAGGCAAATGCATAGTGTTTGCAAAAAACACCAACTCTGGGTTGTTTTTTTGAAGGAAGCATTTCCATGTTACCTTCCTCATGCAAGTTTCCTGCAAAGCTAAAGAAGGGAAGTCCCTTGGAGGCAAGTGTCCATCTGCAATGAGCAATCAGCAGAGTCAGTGCTGACAGTTTGTGTGCTTCAAGGGAGCAGAGATGAAGAGCAAAGCAGCTAGAGAGATGGTGAAAAGGATGGTTTGATCACAGTATCCTGAATATAAGCCTAACAGAAGCATGGTGGAAAGCAAGATGAAGTGACGGAAGAGGCTGAATTGATTCACTTCTCAAAGAAAAACCTCCAAGCTAAGTAACAAAAGCAAGAGGGAAAGAGAAAGAAAATGAATCAGAAATAGCTCCAGGCTGGGAGGGAGAGAAAGAACTCTTGCTTGGATCTTCTGCATGTCTCTGACGAGAATTTGGCCTCAAATTCGGTCTCACTTCCCCATGCTCCCATATGCCTAGTGATCACCAACACGTTGTTACCCAGAAATCGCCCGCCAGCTTTACCAACAAAGCCGTCAGCTCCAGGCACTGCCCACCCTGCGTCACCCAGCGTCTGGGTCCCTTATCCAGCACAGACAAGCCCTCCATCAGCACTTCTGCCCACGCAGCACCCAGTGCCTCACCCCCACCCCCATGCTGGGCCGCTTCCCACTGTTGTTTTGGGGTTGACACTCTTCTCGAGTAATTAACTCTCCCAGCTGTGTCATCTTCTGAGATTTGCAATGATGGAGCTACGGACAATGGACACTTTACGTATTTGTCAAACTATAATGAAGAAACTGAACTCGACATCCTTATTGCAAGACTTGCTGCAACCAAAGATTGAGGGGAGATCTGTCAAACCCACAGTGCCAGACACTTAAGAGAAGTTAAAGGGATCTGGGCCCCCCTGACACTTTTGAAAACTTTACCCACAGTCTCTTCGAAGAGACATTTTTTTGCACGTGGTCTTGCACGTTCCTGATAAGAGAACATCCCACATTCACTGAGGCAATGATGAAGGTTCCTTGCAAAGAGAATCTGGTGGTAGTGAGGTTGTGGATCATTAATGACTAGAATGTCCTGGAATGAAGGTCTTTAGAGAAAAAGCCTATTGATATGATATAGAAAATGTTGAAGCTACATGCAACTGCGAAGGATGAAATGTGCAGCGCAAACAGATCTAGCATAAAAAAACCACCGAAAGACTGTCTCCAGGTGCTTGTTCATGGATGTTTGCCTGACCCAGGAGCTTTCGCTCTCATTCTGGGGTGGTTTTGTTTATAAATCCTTGACAGCAAAGCTGTATTTCAGGATTGTTCCCTTTAAGAATCACAAACAGGATGGCACAGATGCTCTGCTGCAGGCTGGCATGTGCAGCCAGTGCTCTCCACCACAACACGCATCAGCTCAGTGCAGGACTGGTCCTCTTCTGAAAATTTCAGTCAATTTAAGACTCCCTCATCCCCCTCCCTCCGACTCCTGGGGTTTTCCAGACCCTGGGAAGGCTTTCCCTTCCCCTTTGCCAGTGCCCCCAAGAAGACTTGTACGTCAATATACTAAGCAGAGGAGCTAGGAGCTGACTGTCTCTTACCTTTGGTTTTAAAAGCAAAGTTACAGTACTTGCAGACATATGGCCTGACGTCTGTGTGCGTGCGAATGTGTTTCTTCAGCATGCTGGGTTTCTTGCAGCGAATTCCACACTCCTCACATACATACTTCCCTCTTCCACGGCCTCGCACATACACATACTCTTCGTTTGATTTGTACCTATGAGCAACAGGTGTCATGATAAAAAAAAAAAAAAAAAGAAGATTCCCACCTCAAAAGTAGTCACAACTTTCCTGAATTAATTCAGCATGTTATTGACACCACCGGTCTGATTTACCATTTGCTAGCTCTGGGTAATTAGGCTAAATTTAAAATAACGTCAAAAGCTTTTGCCCGGATGCCTACTTCCTCTTCTGGAATATGTTCTTGTGTCCTACATCTGCTTCTCTATACAGACAAATAGCCCAAAGTCCAAAATAAGTCACAGAGTCACCCAAATGTCCTGATTTTCCCCATCCTCAAACACAAACTGAGGCACTCATAATAGTCTGCATAAGACATGTCACAGTCCAGCCTGGTTGCCTGAATCATCTCTCTCTCAGCCAATGCTCTGTTTTAAAATATGCACAGTCTGTCACTGTACTATGCAAAGTACCGAGAAAATAACATCCCAGCTAAACCTCTTGTGATACAACCTTTCCCACCCACTGGGACAACAGTGAAAGCCACCTGAGAAGACTGTGATGCCACACTGCAAGCTGCGGTCCCTGCACAGACTCCTGATAGAATGAGACACCCAGAATGGACACAAAGAGAAGAAAACATAATTTAAAAAAAATATATTGCGCTAACACTAAATGTAAACACCGCAGACTCCAGGCTGTTTTATCTTTGGCACAAAATCATGACTTAGGTTTACCCAAGAGAATGAGATTGGTCATCCTTCCTTCACATTGTATACTCATTTATTTTCTGTCCACGCATTAGTACATAGGAAAGGCTACATGATGAGGGTTTGAAAAATATTTCTGAGACTGAGACAAATCATTTAGCCTCCTGACGTTTAGCAAATGGAGTCTGTAATTTCCTTTACTTGCAGCACAAGAAGAATAAGGTAACACAAAATTGGTCCTATGTATTTATAATGCAAACCAAAAAAGATCGTTTAATACTGAGTGAAAAATACATAAAGGTCATGAATCCAGCCCTGGACTGATAGGATGATAATGGCATGGTCTGCACAGGATGCATTCAAGAAAATACATCTCAGTTACCCACAAGTGTGGATTTAAAAGCAGGTAAGTCACACTGCATGAACCCCTTGATGTCCCACCCAGGCAGAATGCACATGGCCTTGACTCCATTTTGTTTCATTCACGTAGGAAGTGTACAGGTAATTTCAGTTCCACATGGGTGTTCTACCACACCTGAAATTCAGAATAATCTTTCTGGGAGATTGAGAAATTCAGAATGATCAACCTGGCAAATGTGAGTTCTGGACTAAACCCTCCCTCTCCTGCCAAGTCCTGGTCTCTCTGACTCAAGGTCTTAGCTGTAAAAGACAGGCCGAGCCACTTCTTTGCTTCACAGGAGACATGTGAGCAGATGCTTAAAAGATGATGAGCTGCTCATGCATTAAGGTGACGAGGTCACAGATCTCCTATGCAGGTTCAGACACAGACTAGAGATGAGAAGACAAATGGGTGTCTATAGATAGCCCCAGTCCAGCCTGAAATACCAGTACCAGTCTAACTAGGTCTTGGTGTCCAACAGCCACATGTAGGGGAACAGCCTGTATTTCTGTCCTTTAGCATCAGCAGAAGTTCTCCAGACCATAACAAGGGTCATCCAGTAGCCCAGATACTCAATTCTGTCTCCTCTAACTGAAGCCACAGCGATGCCATCTACACCGCTGCCTTCCCCTGCCCCTCTCCCCTGCAAAAAAAGCCCAACAAACACCACCACCAAAACCCCTCCATCACAAGGTTCTCCTTATTTAGCCAGAGCTGGTGTCTGAAGAGCACACACTGACTTGCCAGCTTCCACCCCAGTATGTCCAGCTATCTCCATTTAACCACACAGATACCAGGGTACCCATAATTAATTGTTAGGGATGGCCAACATCCCTTCTTCATTAGTCAGTGACAACGGTAAAGCAGCAAAAAGAACCCAGGAATCCTGAATTTTCTCCTTCTGTTCAAATTTGTATTTGAGGCTTCCTTCTCGCCCTCCTTTCCTTCCATCATTATGCTGGTAATCACCTTGCCATTTAAAAAATGAAATTGCTCCTTTATCAGCCTTGTACTTGCACTACCCTTAATTACACTCTCACATGGAAATCTCTAAGCATGTTCTTTGTGTCCAACAGTCCCTTCATCAGCCTCATTAAAGCTATCGGGGCTGGCTTTTCCTGGATAAAAAGGGACACGTGATTTAATCTGAAATTAGACATTGCCGTTTATCTGACACTCTGTGAGACTAAGCCATCCTTTAACACCGATATTTTTCTACAGCTCTTTGAGACCATGTGTAAAACACACAAGGAGAGGAGAGAAACAGAAAAAGAAAGGTAACCTAAAGAAATACTGAACCAAACAAGAAGAAGAAAGCAAAGGAGGTGATACTGCCATAACACAGAGAAGGCTGCTGCAAATGCCATCTGTCTGCATTGAAGGCTATAATATGTTTATGGAGATAATTACTTCAATATGATGCTGGTTTCTCTGTGGATCTAATATGCTCACATGATTTGCATCAGAAAGACAAATCAATGACAGCTCACTTCACGTGAAGATTTACCCTGGACAAAGGATCTTCCTGCTCTGCAATGTTTGCTGTAACCAGATCCCTCTAATATCCACAGTTGGAGTTTGTGTCAGCAAAGCTGGGCTTCTCTTCCCGCGCAGTACTGTGAATTCATAATCCTGTAGTTAGCAACTTGCACCTCTTACAGTGTCACAGCTCCCATCTAATACCGAGATGATTTGAAATTCAGGATGCTCACTGGCCATTATGGGCTTGCAGACTAACTTAGGAAATTCTTTCAAACAGACACACACACAAAAAGATACAAATTCAGTTATTTGATGCAGTTTTCATAAGGTTATTTGCTGTGTTCTGCTAGCAAATGCACATCTGTTGAATTTTGTGCAACCACTACAAACACTTTTCAGAGCAAGAGGAACTGGCACCATGGCAGCATCGGTGCTACCGTAGGCAGTACCAGATTCAGAGACTTCATGGCCCCAAATCAGCCCTTCTGTGTCAGGAGTCACAGGAAACTAAACAATGGGAAACCATGAACCTGGGGAAAGCTTTGCCGCAGCTCTTTCCCTTAAACATAAAACCATGAAGCATTTATTCCTTCACAGTCTTTAGGAGGCTTAGGTCTTCATATTTGCCATTACAACTATCTGACTATCCTTCTTAGCCACAAACACTTTTTTTTTTTTTTTTTTTCCCCTCAGCACTGTGAGCCACATCCAAAATCTTCATGTGGCTGAAAACCACACGATAAAATCTTGGAGAGCAGAGGGGGAAGGAAGTTTGGTGGTTCACAGGCAGGAAGGGAGAACAGGTTTCTGGGGGACTCATTGCTTCACTATGAAACACAGTTTGGCTGAATCCCCCCTTTTCTCCTGGTTTCTACAGCCACCAGGATTTTACCTTGCCCCGCAAAGTCTTTGCTGATGTGACCTCGCTGGTCCCAGCCACAGCCCTTATATTATTTGCAAGTCACCTGTAGGCAGCCTAATGCTGTGAATTTCCAGAATCTGAAGCTTCACCATGTATTATGGTAAAGATCACCCCTGGTTAGCTCTGCAGCAATTGAACAAGTATTTCCTTGACTGGTTTTGACATTTGCTAAACTCACTTGTTTGCTTTTCGGATTTCTGGTGCACAGTAACAGGAACTGGATATCTGATCCCTTTCCTGTGCCGCAGCACTTAGCTCACAGTCGAGTGAACCAAGTAGCTCCAGTTGTTGCCTTGGGTGTAAGTCTGATTTTACTGATGGCACATTTTACCTGTCATCAGGCTGCCCGCTCACCTGGCTTGGCTATCCTTCCAAAGTCCAGACAGTCTGCCCTGGTATTAACTAATCCAATTTGTGTTTTATGGCACCTGCAAATTTTGGCAGATCGCAAATAAATGTGTAACTATTATAATGTCACTGATCCCAGTAAGTTTATTGCCTTTCTCACAGCTCCCTACTAGATGATTAGACCACTGCTTCCACACTGACACCTCCAACACCCACTCTGAAACTGCATGTGCAGCAGAAGTCCTCAGCCTTACGCAGGGCATACCCTGGGGAAACACGGTGGGACACCCCCCAAGACCCCTGCCTGGGTTAGGGATCACCACAGAGGTGTGTCCTTAAGGCCAGGCAGTTGCTGTGAAAACTCCCTTAACTCAAGCCAACCTACAGAAGAACAAACAGAAGGATTTCTTTCAAAATGCAGACCAGACAATGTCATTTCCAGGTTTCTACTCGCACCATAAAACCTTCTAATATCCCAATTTACCAGACAGGGATCTTGCACCAAGACAAACAACGAACTTCCGAAAAATGATACAGAAGGACAGAGAAAGAGCTGGGTATGGATATGGAGGACCTGGCACAGAAATCCCCTCTTCCCTGCCTGAAGTAATGGATCTTTTGCAAACAGCACTTTGCCAATCTACAGTGAAACTACAGAAGACAAGAGCCTGAGCTGAATGAGCCCCCAGCACCCCCAGACTGGACATACGCCAGGAAGCTTGGTACGAAGGTGTTACTGTGAACATCATCTTGCCCTTGAACTAGGTATCATGAACTAGGTATCAGCAGTCAAATAAGATTTAACCCTGACAGAGTGACACTATCCAAGATGAGCACCTCACAGGCAGCAAACCTTGGGGTCCTGCCTGGTAAAACATTGGGGCAGGGACTATCTTCTGCCAAGGGTAAAACACAGCGCAGTGACTCCAGCACAGAGGGCTCTTTGCCAATGCAGAGGAGCTGGATGGATGTGCCCTATCAAGAGCCCTCCCTCTTCTCATTGATAATGGAGAGCAGATTAAAAAATTACAAACACAGCTCTTTCTCAGGGGTGCTGCTGTGATCAGCTTCCGCACACATTTCAGGTCCACGGCTGCTTGTAGCTGCAGGAGGGAAGGGCAAAGCAGAGAGACACCATGACAAACTTTCCAACCAGACATTTGGTGCCTGATTTG